CCATCAAGATCAACAACACCATCATCATCATCATCGACAACGTAATCGTCCTCATTATCATCATCAACAGCACCGTCATCATCGTAGTCATCATCATTACCACCATCACCATAACCACCATCAACAGCATCATCATCATCGTCATCACCATCGTCTTCATCATCGTCATCACCCACCATCATCATTCGTCAGCCTCATCATCATCAGCCTCATCATCATCACCACCATCATCATCACCACCATCATCATCATCTTCACCACCACCACCATCACCCTCACCATTACCATCATCATCAGCATCATCAGCATGATTTATCAGATCATCATTATCATCGTCATCGTCATCATAATCATCGGCGTCGTCATCTTCACCATCATCATCATCACCCTCACCATCACCATCATCATCATAATCATCATCATCATTGGCATCATCATCAGGATCCTCGGCAGCATCATCATCATCGACATCGTCGTCATCACCATCATCATCAGCATCATCATCATCATCATCGTAGTCATCATCACCATCACCATCACCAAAACCACCATCAGCAGCATCATCATGATCAGCATTACCATGTTCATCACCATCGTCTTAATCATCGTCTTAATCATCGTCATCATCACCATCATCATTATCATCAGCCTTTTCATCACCAGCCCCAATCATCATTAACAACACCATCATCACCTCCACTACCATCATCATCACCACAACCATCACCATCACCATCATCAGCATCATTATACCAGCATCATCATAACTATCGTCATCATCATCATCACCATAGCCCTGATGATCCCCATCATCATCTTCATCATCACCATCATCATCATCGGCATCATCATCAACAACACCGTCATCATCAACAATGTCATCGTCATCATCATCATCAGCAGCACCATTGTCCTCATAGTGTAGTCATCTTCATCATATCCTCATCTCACCATCATCACCACCATCGTCACGACCATCACCATCACTATCACGGTCATCATCATCATCAGCATCATCAGCTTCATCATCATCACCACCACCACCATCACCACCATCATCATTACCACCATCACCGTTACCACCATTATCATTATCATCATCATTATCATCAGCAGCATCATCACTCTCACCATCATCATCATCATCATCATCATCATCATCATCATCATCATCATCATAATCGCCACCATCATCATCATCGTCATCATCATCATCATCATCATCATCATCTTCATCATCATCTTCATCATCTTCATCATCCTTGGTGTCCTACCTGGATCAGTTTTTGCCCAGGGAGTGCGGCACGGTCAAGCGCCGATCGAGCACGCGGCGCCTGGTTCGGAGAAGGGTTCCAGAGGGTGGCTGCGGCCGCCCTGGTCCGGGGCGTCGGGCGCCTCGGCTTTCTCCCCGTGGTAGGCGGTGTGCGGGACGCCTGGTATCACCTGCGGGAGGGCGCTCTGCCAGCGGAGTCCTGCGAGGCTTGCAGATGGCGATGTTGCCCGACGAGGGGATAGGCTCGAGGGGACAACGTTTTCGGACGCTTCCGTCGACTCCTGGAGGTTCTCCACCAGGATGCTCTTCAGCAGCTGCGCCTTGCCTGGAGCGTCACGAGGGTGCCTGGATCGTCCCGAACGGCCGCCGGAGCGCCGAGTTATGACCCGAAAGCCATATGGGCTCAGGGGTCGATGCATCGATCCCCCTGACAGGGGTGACCACCCGATCTTAGACGGCGACTCTGCCGGCTTCCAGGTAGTGTTTTTGCGCGAATTCTGCTTCGAGGCGGACAGAATTGTCTATTGATTTTCGGGGGCGCAGTGAAGGAGACGCTTGAGAGTACTGGCCACGAGTTTATGGACAGATGAACAGGAGGCCGCCTTGACGATTACTTGTGGTGCAAGGGTGCGTACAGTGAGGTTCCGATCGCAGCGTGCGTCGATGCGCTAACATCATGCCGGCAGTAAAGAGCGCCTGTTTCAAGACTCTCGATACATCACTACCGACGGCGATGGTGAGACGGAGCCCAAGAACAGGATGTACAAGGCTTCTTGCTGGTATTTCATGTACTGGCCCTCTTCTTGGACAAATGATGGTCGCGGTGATAAACGTCTTAGCTATCTGATGACGGTGACGGTCAAGCCGCCGCTCTTGCAGGAGGGGCGTCGGAAGTTTGAGCGTACGTCAGGAGCGGGACCTATCATTTGCGCAACGTTCAGTAGTTCGCCTACTCCTTCGTGCGTCCAAGTTGAAACCGGAAGTAATTATTTGAATCGCGTGTGCATCAGTTTGAGCTTCTGGTGACGCTGTCAGCGAACCAGTATATAATTGATCAGTCCTGGCAGTCGTCGCGGGACTGGGGTGACCGTCGGATCCAAGATGTCGTTGTCGTTTTTTGTTGGCTTGCTCCGTTCCATCTTTCAGGGCAGCCCAGCGTTGTCAAGTCTTGCGTGGCGGTTGCACGACGACGGTGGGCGCACCGTCGAACCCCTCAGGACAGCCCATCGCTGTCAGAATTTGCGTGGCGGTTGTGCGACGAACGCGGGCACGGTGGTCACGCGCGTTTTGGTGCTCACATTCGTTATGGTGTTCACATGTGGTTGAAACTAAAGCAGAGTGGATATGAACTCGAGCTTTTAATGTTTATGTCACATGTGTTGTAATGTTTGAATACATTGCCCCTGCGTCGCAAATATTTCTTTGTGTGTTTCGAGAATCGTTGTTCTTCGTTCACGTTTTGTCGATTTTTTGGATTTGTTCAATGTTTTGGGTTGTCTGTCAAAGTATATCATGTGGTTAGGCTATCGAGCGTCGTCCGTGGTCAAAATTTCATAGGCGAGGGTTTACCGTTTTAACCGAGATGCCGTTGTTATTTCCAAGGGGTGGTTACCCTTGAAGATTAGGTTTATGCTGTCGCCGTTTTCCCGCGCAGTCAGTTCCACAAGAGTGTGCCGGGAGTGATGATACTTGAGCCACGGGTGAATGTAATAGCGGCGGAAGCAGCACAAGTGGGCCAGACAAGTGGTGCGCACCAGCTTTCGGTAACCTGGACGTCTAGCGTCCAAACTCTCTCGGAAAGGCATCTTGAGTGTTTGGATCTGTTCCTGGAAGAGCTCCACTCGACAGGGACACTCGAAACGATTTCGTCCTTTCGATTGCTCATTGAAGCGCTACATTAATTTCACGGGTCCAGCGGTTGTCTGTGGACCGGTATAGCCTCTGATGCAGATCTCAGACCGAGACATCTTGTTCGGATCGTTTCGTAGGACGCGCTCGACGCCCTCAAGGTTTGAGCTGACATAGCTCTGCCGTGGCAGCGTAAACGCTGCATTTCCATCGTGTATTTCCAAGGCAAGCCCAGCCAAGCGTCTCTCCTCCCCCTGCACCTTCTCATGCTCCTCATTCTCGCCTCCTGATCCTTCTTGGACCTTTACCTATCATTCACCTCCTTCTCCTCCCGATCCATCCAGCATTTTCAGGTTCCTCCCCATTATTCATACCTATACGACCACCCTTCAGGTGATAAGGAGGTTGTGCGTGGGGGGGAGATGGGGGGAATCAACATCTGACTCAATTGATTCCACTATCGATCTCACTCACCGGGACACCACGGGACACTTGTCGATCTCATGATTGATCTCAATATCGATCTCACTCAACGAGACACCACGGGCCACCACGGGACACCACAGGACACACCACGGGACATCTCTCGATTTCACTATCGATCTCACTATCGATCTCACTCAGCGGGACACCACGGGACACCACGGGACACCAGTCGATCTCACTATCGAGCTCACTATCGATTTCGTTGTTTGGGGACACCACGGGACACCTCGGGGCACCACATCGATCTCACTATCGATCTCACTCAACGAGACACCACGGGACACCACGGGACACCTGTCGATCTCACTATCGATCTCACTATCGATCTCAGTTTTTGGGACACCACGGGACATTTCGGGGCACCACATCGATCTCAGTATCGATCTCACTATCGATCGCAGTATCGATCTCACTATCGATCTCAGTATCGATCTCACTCAACGGGACACCACGGGACACCACGGGACATCGTGGGACACCGCGAGCCACCGCTGGACGAACGGACGGACGGGCGGGCGGGGGAGAATCATTTGTCTTGAGTTCGCCCTAGCAGCGGCGGACAACACGGGACACAACGGGACACCGCGGGACACCGCGGGCCACCGCCGAACGTGTGGGAGGGGGAGAATCATTTGTCTTGACTTCGCCCTAGCACTGGCGGACACCACGGGACACCACGGGACACCGCGGGACACCGCGGGACACCGCGGGGCCACCGCCGGACGGGCGGAAGGGGGATAATTATTTGTCTTGACTTAGCCCTAGCAACGGCGGGTTCATTCCACTCGCGCGCCCGCGCAGCTTCGCCTCGCCCGCCTGCGCGACACGAACGAAACGAAACGATTTCCCGGTTGGGGGTTTCCTTTCCATTGCGATCTCACCCTCTAATCTCCGATCTTCTCCTTTGCCTCCTACCCCCCCTCGTCCTTCTCCTCCTCCTTTTCCTTCTGCTCCTCTTCCTCTTCCTTCTCTTTCTCATCTTCCTTCTCTTTCTCCTCCTCCTCTTCCTCCTCCTCTTCGTCTTTTTCCCTCATGCAGCTTTCTACCAGAGCTCCTCCTCCCTCCTCCCTCCTCTCTTCCCCCTTCCTGCCGTCTACCTCCTTCCCTCTCTCTCTCTCTCTCTCTCTCTCCTGTTTCCGCCTGCCTCCCCCCTTCATCCACCTCCACCTCTTGTTGAGGTTCGAAGCCTGGCCGCCGTGATCGCATCTGCCTCACGTCGAACCCGTGTGCCTCGCCCAGTAATGCCATCCGAATCCCGTTGCGCACCGTCGCTTAGCCCTCTCATTCCCTTTGCTCCTCTCGCCCGACCCGCTGCCAGGAGAAAGAGGAGGAGATGAAACACAATGCAGACATCGTGCGCTCCGAGTCCGAGCGCCTTCTGGCGCAGGAGAAGGCTCGGAGCTCGAGAGTGGTGTGGGGTTTTCGCGACGTGTCGACGGCCCCGCTCTCCGTAGCTCCCATCGCCCCCTCTTCCACGCCAGTCTTCCAAGCCGCTGGAAGTACGTGTTGCTCGAAGGCTCCCTCCTCTTCCTTCCTCCTCCCCCCTTCCTTGTCCCCCCTACTGCCTACTTCTACCATTGCTACGACCATCACTATTACTACTACTACTACCACTACTACTACTACTACTACTACTACTACTACTACTACTACTACTACTACTACTACTACTACTACGACTGCTACTACAACAATTACTACTACAACAACAACAACAACTACTACTACTACTACTACTACTAGTACTACCGCTACTACTACTACTACTACTACTACTACTACTACTACTACTCCTACTACTACTACTACTACCTACTACTACTACTACTACTCCTACTACTACTACTACTACTACTACTACTACTACTACTACTACGACTACGACTACGACTACGACTACGACTACGACGCCTACTACTACTACTACTACCATTACCACTACTACTACTACTACTACTACTACTACTACTACTACTACTATTACTACTACTACGACTACTACGACTACTACGACTACTACTATTCTTAGTACTACGACAACTATGGTTACTACTGCTACTATTACGGCTACTACTCCTTCTACTACTACTACTACGACGACTACTACTACTTTTGCGATTACTACTCCTACGACTAGTACCGCAACCACTACTACCACTACCTTTCCCACGACTACTACTACTACTACTACTACTGCTACTTCTCCTTCTTCTTCTGCTACTACTACGACTACTGTTACTACTATTACTACTAGTACGACTACTACGACTGCTACTACTACTACTACAACTACTACTACGACGATTACTATTATTATTACTACCACACCTACTATACTTGTTGCGAGTACAACTCCGACGACTACTACCACTAACAACACTACCACTACCACTTCTACGGCTACGGCGACTACTATTCTTTCTATTTCTACTACTTTTACGTCTACGTCTACCTTTACTTGTACCTCGACTTCTACTTCTTCTACTACTACTACTACTATTACTACTACTACTACTACAACGAGCACTACTACTACCACTGCGACTGCTACGACTACTATTCTATTGCTACTACGACTACTACCACGACGACGACATCACTACTACTACTACTACTACTACTATTACTACTACTACTACTACTACTACCACTACTACTACCACCACTACCACTACCACTACAACCACTACTACTACTACTACTACTACTCCTACTACTACTATTACTACTACTACTACTACTCCTACGACTAGTACCGCAACCACTACTACCACTACCTTTTCTACGACTACTACTGCTACTACTACTACTACTGCTACTTATCCTTCGTCTTCTACTACTACTATTAGTACTATTACTACTAGTACGACTACTACGGCTACTACTACTATTACCGCTACTACTACTACGACTACTACTGCAACTATTACTACTGCAACAACAACTACAACAACTACGACTACTACTACAACTACCACTACTATTACTACTGCTACTACTACTGCTACTACTACTGATACTCCTACTAATTCTACTCCTACTACTACTACTACTACTACTACTACTACGACTACGACGACTACTACTACTACGACTACTACTACTACTACTACTACTACTACTACTACTACTATTACTACTACTACGACTACTACGACTGCTACTATTCTTAGTACTACGAAAATTATTATTACTACTGCTACTATTACGACTACTACTCCTTCTACTACTACTACGGCGACTACTACTATTTGTGCGCGTACAACTCCTACGACTAGTACCGCAACCACTACTACCACTACCTTTTCTACAACTACTACTACTACTACTACTACTGCTACTTCTCCTTCTCCTTCTTCTTCTTCCACTACTACTACTACTACTACTACTACTACTACTACTACTACTACTACTACTACTACTACTACTACTACTACCACTATTACTACTAGTACGACTACTACGATTACTACTACTACTACTACTACTACTACTACTACTACCACTACTACTACTACTACTACGACCGACTACTACTACAACTACCATTACGACGACTACTACTATTATTACTGCCACACCTACTATACTTGTTGCGAGTACTACTCCGACGACTACTACCACCACCAACACTACCACTACCACTTCCACGGCTACTGCGACTGCTATCCCTTCAATTTCTACTACTTCTACTTCTACGTCTATCTTTACTTTCACTTCGACTTCTACTTCTTCTACTACTACTACACTACTACTACGACTATTACTACTACAACGAGCACCACTACTACCACTGCGACTACTACGGCTACTATTCTATTGTTACTACGACTACTACCACAACTACTACTACTACTACTACTACTACTACTACTACTACTACTACTACTACT